CAGGCAGTGTTCCCTTTAAGATTTTTTTGTCCAGGAGTGATGAGAGTTTTGTCTTTTTCACCAATATTGAGGTCACGTGCATTTGTTCAGTTGTGTGCCACTGTGGCACTCCACCAATGGTGCTGTTCCCTGAGAGACTCTCCCAGCACAGAGACCCTAGTCCTCCCTGCCCCTTGCTGGGATCCTAAGTCCTGCTCCCAGGAAGCACACGCACTTGTGGAGGTGAGACTGGTCCCCAAAGGGAGCGTGGTTCCCTGTTTGCAGGGCAGGGACTGCCCCAGACTGCTCCCTGCGGGGCTGGCTGCAAGTCCTTGCCTGGAGCAGAGGGGAGCTGCTGCCAGCCCCTAGGGTGTACAGGGAGTGTGGGTCTGGGGTGGAGCAGCAATGTGTGGGAAGCCAGAGGGAGGGAGCCAGTAGGAGACTACAGCAGAACTAAATGTGTTTAGATACTTGGATTACTCAAAATTCTCATATAAAGTGTTGTACGGTAGACTTCTGATAATCCGGCACCTTTGGGACCTAGGTAGTGCTGGATTATCAGATATGCCGGAGTATTGGGAGGTACTCCGGTAGGGGGCTGTGATGGGTCTGCCGGGACCCGCACTGCGCCTGGGGGTGGGCAGGGAACAGCACAGTGAAGAGCGAACCCTCTGCCATTTTGCAGGAAGGAGGGGGAAGCCCTGCACCGACGCCGAGAGTGGAGCAGGCTCCCCACCCTGCAGAGTGCAGTAGTTATCACCGAGCAGGAGGGGGAGGGGCGGCACTGCGAGACCAACCCAGCAGCACCCTACCTGCTCTGCTCTGCAGCTTCCCCAAGTCTGCCACTTGTCAGTTTCAGCAGCAGCAGCAGCGAATTTGAGGAAGCGGCGCGGAGCAGTGCAGCTGCAGTGCTGCCAGGCACCGAGCAGGGGGGTGAGGGCAGCGCTGCGGGACCAACCTGGAAGCACTTCCGGGTTCCAGTTGGTGCCGAACTATCGGGAGTGCTGGACCACTGGATGCCGGACTATTGGAGTTTTACTGTATTATTAAAGGAAAAGGTGTCTCAATTGTACTTTATCAAATATTAGTTGCATGTGACTCTCCAGCATTAATTTTCTTTTGTGGCTTTTCTTACTCATACTGCCATCTAGGTACACCTGACCAGCTGTTAAATATATTAAAAGTCATGCTATGTGCTGATAATACCCACAATTTGACATTTTATCATTTGGTTTAGGAGGTCAGTCTTTTTTTACTGAGTTAACAGATATATCTATGTACAGTACAACTAATACTGAAAATTTGATTCCCAGTAATGAATGGGGGTTTGATTCTTTGGGAGTTTGATTTGCAGTGACGTTTCTTTGAAAACACTTCCAAGTAAAGTCTCTGATCAATGACTAACTGCTACATTTTAAAAAATGTATTCAACCTCAGAGGTAATCACTGGTACATATCCTACATAGCTCTGAAAGTGAGGCAAGAGACAAGGACTGATCTCCATTTGTTTACATTTTATAATATTAATGTTTTATATGTATTTTATACCAAAACACTTCTTTTAAAAATACAAGAACAAGATAAGATTGCCCTCACAATAACAAACAGGATATTCTGTAGTCTATATACATTTATGGGATACATAATATACATAGGATGTGCTGAGGATATTTATGGGATACATTAATAAACAATGATAGATTAAAGTTCACATTTAAATAATACAGAAAGAGACAAATATTACATTCAGTAAAGCTGATTTACTGCTGCATTACTTCCGTTTCATTCCAGTGCAACTCTGAAGCATTATAGTGGGGAACCAGGATCAATATATTCTAAATCATAATAGTAGTATAACTGCAAAGGAGCAATCTGAGTGGTTTTGGAACTTGAGTTTTCAACCTTGAAGTTGAATTATCCCTGGTGTTTTACATTCAGTTTACCTGTTTGTCTGTTTGAGTATATCGAAAGAAAACCAGAGTTAAAGGAAATTACAAGCTCTGAAAGTTTCACAGTTCTGGAAAAGGGGCACAATATTCTGGACATTTAAGCTAAAAATTATGACCCACTAAGTAAAGAAGTTAGAATTGAATTAATTAACCCTAGGCTTATGTACCTGAGACACAGGACTGTTCCTGAATCCATTTTAGGAATTGGAGTGGGTCTGATTGTTTAAATAGGTGTTGAGTTGAATTCCAGTGAATTCCTTGAAAGGGGGGAAGGAGGTAGTCCTACACTTTCTCCTAAAAAATTAGATTTAAAAACTAGAAGCAAACTCAACATGGCAAATCAATGTTTATTTGACCACAGGACCATTACAATCTATATGGCTGCCACAGTGCATCTTCCCTAATCTATCAAGGATACATATTTGTTCATCTGTTAATCACTTTTGCCCCATTACTTTATTTCAAAAATTAAACCATTTAAAAACTTTGTTGGGGACACACACACACACACACACACACACACACACACACGCAAAAATCAATACTTTTTTTCCCAGAAATATAAAGTGCTGATGGTACATCATAGTTTTTAATCCCACTGTTGCTGCACTCCCAAAAGCAGTCACACTGGAGTCTGGCTCGAGCTCCAGCAGCCACCCGTTATGTGGCCTGCCCCAGGAGCAGCCAGGCAGCCATTTTGCAGCCCTGGCTGCAGCTCTAAGCTCTGAGGAAGGGCTGAAGCTGGGGCAAGGGCTGCATGGTGGTTGTCCATCTGCTCCTGGGGTGGGCCTTGTGGTGGGAGATTGCCCTGTGCTGATGCTGGAGCCCTGGCCATGGTGCTATGTTTAGTACCATGGCCCCTGGCCTGTACAGTGTTACCTACCAGCCCTGTGCTGCCCCCAAGCCTTTGCTGGAATCAGACAAAGCAATGAAAAGGCCAGGGAAGACACACTAAACTAATTAAGGAAACACCCCAGCCTCATCTGCATTGAAGATAGAACTCATTAGCATACAGAATGGAGACCAGCTCTTCCATGGCAGGAAATGCAGTGAACTATGGGATACCGAAAGCAGAGAAGCACTGCCTGATGGGAAATCTCTACTCTAGATGCTAATGAACCCAGGCCTGCTCACACCCAAATTAGTCATTATCAGACCAATTCTAGTAAGGATCCTATTGACATCTAAAAAACTGAAACTGCCTAGTTGCATTGTGAGCTTGTTCAAGGAACATCATCCATAACTAGGAGTGATCAGTCTCTATTGTCCCTCCTCTTTCTCTTTGAACTCTACCTATAAAAACTCCTAACCTTGCCCCAAGAAAAACTGTTCTGATACCTGGATTTAAACTGCATCAGTTCCATTAAGACTTTTTCATCTCCTGTCTGATCGTGCTGGGAGCTCTGTTCTGCTTGTTTCCTGCCCTGTGGACCCCCAGCTACCATCATCATCTGGGAACCCTGATCAGTGCAAGCTCCATGGAATGGTGAGGTCTCTCTCTTTCTCTCTCCCATCAACTACCTCTCTAAGCATAGCCTCCTGACCCTGCCCTATGTAAACTGTTATATGGTTACCTAACATTTGTAAT